CAGCAGAAACTAAACGATAATCTGACAAATTTCGAAAAAAAAACAATTTATAGATCAAAAAACAATTAAGAGATCTTTTAGTGAAAAATTTGCAGAGATGTGTGAAACTTTTACACGCCGTATCAAAATGGGACGGCTCAACTAGTTTGCACGCTAAATACAAGCCGGAAATTATGCTGACAGAATCTTTGCAGAATTTTGTGTGCAAAATCTTAGAAAAAAAAAAGAAAAAAACGTGTGAACAAGCATAAGCAAAGCCAAAATTCAGTAAAAGCTGAAACACCCTATAGCGTCCTTGGATAAATGACCTCAGTCCAAGCAACTAAAAGTAATAAATAATATTTCTCAATTAAAATTGTTTGAGAGAAAAAGTTTCGTATAACTGGCTACCAGACCTTTCCCTTTGAAACTTTCCTTACGGTCATGCTTTTTCTTTGCTGAACACGTTTTTGACTTTCAAGCTCAATAGTGTAAGAAAATTTCCATGAAATAGTATCAATGTACGCTGGCTAATCAAATTTACCAACCAGAAATTTACGACAGAAAAAGCCATGAATATTCGTCTTTGGTGGGAAAGTGGTGGTTTCGAATTTAAGATAGAGGAAAAAACAAAAAAATACAACAGAATAATTTTTTTGGAAGTAATCTTAAAAAATCAATAAAAAATTGTAGAAAAAAAATGAACAGCCGAAAAAAAAAATTCCTATGATATATTTTTACCACATAGGCAAGCAGAACTTCGCACCACTTGCGTTACATCAATCAAGAAAAGGCATAGTACTAGCCGGAAAGAAAACGCAAACTGAATCGAAAATTTTTTTTTTAAAATAATTTGAAACATTAATTTCTTAAAGTTTGTCTCGAATGCGGGTTAATTTAAGGAAAAATACAACATCCAAGGTTAAAGAAGCATTTTGAACGAAATTAACTAAGCGGATACTGAGCACATAAAACTTGGGTAGGCGACTGTTGAGTAAAATCAAAGTTGAGCTATAAAGTATTTGATCCGAAATTTTTTTCTAAGTTTCACCCCCCCCCCAACTACGTTTCCGCAAGCACAAAAACAATTTTAAAGGTAAGTGATTCATACAACGATTTAACAAGCAATTAAAGATTTTTTCATCGACCTAAATCCTCTTAGCCGAAAAAACCTTTAAATAGAAACAAAAACGAAAAATAAAAAGCGGAAAAAGAAAACAAAAAACAAGAGTTGATTTACAACAAACATTATAAACATAACAAAGATAAAACATTAGCAACCGCAAAAAGTAACGATAAAGTTTCTGCAATTAATTTAAACCTTGTCATTTTAGACAGAAAAATGATAACTTGGAAACACTTTATTATTTAGGAGACCCAGTTAAGAAAAATTTGAAGGTGAATCGAATCGGCTGTACGAACTAAAAAAGAAAAAATAATTGAATGAATTTGTTAAAAACGAAGCATTCGAACTGCAGACTTTTTTGAAGAAACAAGAATATACTCTTCAACAACTCAGTAACGCTATTTAAAAAATAAAAATCTTGGATTTTCCATGTGTGCAAATTGATTCAATCGAACTTAAAAATAACAGCCAAAATTAAAAACAGAAAAAACTTTCGTTACCTATGGTAGTTTGCGGTACTTCGAACCAAAACAAATAGACTGGATTTTTTTTACAAACAGTTCGATTGAAGTAATGCCACAGAAGCTAAACTTCACTTTGCAAACACACGTGAGAAAAAGGCAAAAAGAGCTCTAAAAAGATTAAAAGATAAAAAAAAAGAAAAGATAAAACTAACAGAAAACACTGCTAAGTGGCTGAATCAAACCATTGACCTGGAAATTAGAAGTCGCGCGACCTTGCATCTGCGCCAAAGGCGCTTAGCTAGAGTTAACACAGAGTCGAAACTGCTCGTCGCGAATACTAGCGAGAAAACATTCGGCTACATTTCGGATTAAAACCTGCGACCTACAGATTATAATTCGCATTCACTTACGACTCAGCCACAAACGTTTAGCCTCTCACAAATATTAGCCACAAATAAAATAGACAGCAGATGTTATGAGTTTTCCAATGCTACAGATTGTCATTATAGATAGTTTGAGTGCTACCCCATGAGCACTTTTATTTGCAAGTTAGATTTGAAAAAAGCTCGTACTGATACACAACGTTCACAACCTCGCAAGTGTAAGCACTTGGAGCTAAATAAAGTCGGAGTTACCTGCTTGAAAATAATTTAACATAATGTATTGATGCGAATAGTACTGCGTAAGTTCCATAAGTTTCAAAAAAAATTTCAGATTTGGCATGGTCGTTTAGGAAAATTAAACGAATCCCAAATCGAATCAAAAGGTCAAACATTTCCACAATCTACAGCTGATTTCATACCAAAATTAGAAACATTCACATATGCAGGGGATGCCTTTAAAGATCGTTATTTCAATGAACGCCACGTAAGTTTGGCAATGTAGGTTTCGAAACTAAAAAAAACTCCAGAAAAAATCATTGCGAAATATGGAACTTTGCTTTTTTAACATGGCTTTTCACACACATAGCACATCGAAGATTGGAAAAAAGTAATGAACGCAAGTAAACATAAATGAAACACTGACTTTGGTGAAAAATTCTCAAGTATCAAATTTCAAAGTAAAAAATAGATGCTCTTTAAGATTTTTGTGTTTCTAGAAAAATTTATGACTGGCGCTTTCTGATAACATTAACCCAACTTGAGAAAACTGGGTCAACGGGTAAAATTTTTATTCCGCTGGGAAAATTTAAAAATTAAACTCCACTTTCAAAATTTGAAACCGTTCACGTTTTTTACGTCATTTTCACATTCGTATTCTATTTACGTCACTTTCAGCAGATGAATTTCAAATAAACTCAAAAAGTGCAAAATTTTTAAAACTTCTTCCTGAGAAAAAAAATAAACAAAAATCAGCAAGACCTGAATAAGAGTCTTCACTACGTTCATTACTCCCAAAAACTAAGACAATGACCATGGATCGAAAATTTTCAGCACCTGTTCTTTTGATTGAACTTTTTATCTCAGATTTGGCAAGGTAATCTTTGACAAGTCTCCGAAAAACGGTTCAAGACTAAAATTAATTTTTGTGCACATAAAACAGTATATAGCTGATATGCGGACAAAAACTCTTCTTCGCTGTTTTTCGATAAAATCTATATCAGATTTGGCGCAGTAATTTTCGAAAAAAAATCAGGTTTTAAAACTGAGTCAGCTTTCAAAAATTGTGCATTTTTTGAGCGATAAGTTTTTCCATTAAAAAATAAGGGCGACATAAGTTGCGCCATGTAAATTCACTGAATCTTTTCTTTTGATTAAACCCTTCACATCAGTTTTTTTGTTGTAATGCTATGGAGCAAAAAGTTACCAGTTATAAAAATACGAAGATGCCACCAAATAACGACTGAGGTAAAAACAGTGGTTACTGTAAGACAGTACGCTTCACTTGTCTAAAAACCTTTTATAGCTCCACCGAAAAAAAATCGAACCTAGCAGTATTCCACTTGTTTAGGTTGCCAGGATATGAAATGTTGAGAAATGATCTAAAATAATTGATTCTGAATTGGTAGAAAACAGAAACAAAAATGCTTCTGATAAGTTTTATCAATCTTAAATAATGCTTCATAAAACAAATAAAAATCATATAAAGCAAATATTCCGAAAAAATTAAAGCAGATCAATCTAACAATCCCCCCAAATCGATTTGGAGGGATGAAAATTCGGTTTTTCAGAAAACGAGTTTGAGAAAATGGATCTAATCAGTCAAAATAAATGGATCTTATTAGTCAAAAATTCAATCGATATCTTATTATGTTTTATATACTACGCTATTAACAGACTAAAAAAGCTGTGTATAAAAACATATCGAGCAGTAGGTCAATTAGGTGTAGGGATGATTGTAAAAATGATCCCTGAAAGCGGATACCCATTCCCATTAAGACAATATTCTGCAAAACCTTTCTGCAACAATGGAACAATGTGCATTGGAAAAGCGCTGAGCGGTCGTGACAAAGTGCATTAACATGTACCACCGCGAGCGGATTTAGGGGGAGGGGTCGGATTGGACGCCACCCTTAGGGATTTGACCCCCTTTCGACCAAAGGGTCCCCCTTTTGTAATATTTTGGGATATCCATTTTTGGCTGACTGACCCTAAGATTTTCATAAGGGCGCGTTCGCCGACAAATAGTACTAATTTGAGGGAGCGTCAACATTTTCCAAAAACTGCCTAAAAACTGGCCTGCGGTGCAGAAAATTTCGTCGAAATGAGGCTCTTATAATGATTTGAAAGAGCTTAATAAATCAATGTAGTCGACCCAAAAAAAAGCCGACAAAAGTTTTGATTTTTTTTAAAATCTAGCCCCCCCCCCGTTTGAAAGCGAACTTTAATTTTCGGGTATTCGATGACGGTTAAAAATCAGAAGAATTGGTTTTGAAACCAACAAACCCATACACGCTCAACAAAAAATTTTAATAGAGGCGAAGCTGTGCTTCGCAAACACTTGCCAGAACACGACAAAAAAGCATCTCTATCAATTCACTAAAGAAAAAGTATAAATAAGCCTCGAATTTTCAAAAAATTGCGAGATATATTGAGTTAGAAAATTTCTGAAATCGAGATTTTACTATTGTTATGTTGTTTGAAACACATAGTTTTCTTCGGTTCACTTGATGAATTAAAAATGCATCAACTGTGTAAACTTTTAACTATTGGAATGTCAAGGCACATGTTATCAATAAGCTGTAAAGGTGCAACTAAATTTCAAAGAGGCAACAAAATATCAAAAATATCTTATTGCCAAATTTCCATCCAGCAAATATTGTTGCTTTAAGTCGCAATATTATTTGCACTTTAGTCGGGAAAAAAAGAAAGTTCGTACTAAAACACATTGCTTCGCAAGTGTAATAAGGTCAGGAATTCATTTAGTCCCAGAATAAGCTTTCCATACTATATTTTTTTTTAGCTCTTTCCGACAAAAACCGAAGGGTCAAATATTTATTCTATCAAAACGTGAGTCGGAAGACTAAAACTACAAATACTCCGATAGAAAATTTTTACAGTAATACAAAAGGATACATTCTAAAACTTCAGGAACATTTTTGAGTTCTAATACAAAATAAGGCAAAACATAGTGACATCTTTAAAACAATAATATTGTAACAGATCTGCATAAATCACTTATAGAATCAAAATTACCTCTTATACAGATCTATTTTTGGGGCACTTAATTTTCAACATCACAGAGTGGATCAAAAACTGAACAAATTGGTCCAAATAAGAAATTATGTTCAGTACATTGTACAAGCAACAATTGAACATACAATATGTTGGTCAATCAATTTTGTGAATCAATATATAAGTTTCTATTCTAGTCTTTGTCAATTTGGGGAAACTTTTCTGCTTTCTGATTTTTTACTTTAAGTCACGCAATTAAATAGCGCAAGCCTGGTTTAGTTCTAAATCTCAAATTACATAAAACATAGCCATCAGACAGTCGGAAATAAGTTAATGGCACACTTTATCAAAGAAAATTACCGAGAAAACAATATATCACCTTCGAGCTTTTCCGATTTTCTGAATCTTCGTTGTTTAAAAATTTTGCAGAATTGGGCCAATAGGTAACCTTTTTAATCCACTGCCAATTCTAAACATATATCTATTTTTGACAATTGAAGCAATTCAAGCAGTTCCGCGCAATTTGTACTTCATTATCGGAGCGCAGGATTTGCGTTCCATTTGGCACATCTAACTTAACAGATCTTAAGAGGAAACCAAAACTCAAAAAGCGAAAATAAAATGGAACGTGAACAACTTATAAACTTTTCCTTGAAAATACGAAAAAACACAACCTAAATAAGTGTCGTCGATTTGTTCATTGTCACTTAAAAATTGTATGTTTAATTGATGCTTTCAACAAGCAATTTTGATTCAAGAGTTTGAGTTGTGCTGACTCGTCGATGAGCTAGACGACGCGTGTCTATCTGTTGGACTCCCTGATTCGACCTCATTTGCATTGTAAACTAGGCTATCATTGTTCGCCCAAGTATTCCGCTCTCCATCCAAACCGGACAGCGACTCCCGTTCGTGCCTGGGAGGCCTCGGCGGATCTCGTCTCGGTGGAGTGTTCGTCTCTCGTTGCGATGCCACTGATAACTGAACAGCGAGTGATCTCAGATCGTGTTCGGACAAATGCGACGCGGTGGGCCTTCGCATCTGTGGTTGATTACTTTCATTGGATGTACCTATACGTTGTGGCTCCGTGGGGTTTTGTATTGCATTAGAGGTCCGGCTGTTACTCAGTCCTGGGCGAAGGCGAGCGTCTGGATTGGTCTGGTTGTCTGTGCGTCTTTCTATGTAATTACCTGCATCGTTCTTGGTCCCTTTTAACCCTGTTAACAATTATTTAACTTACCGCTAGCCAAATTTTGTGCATCAATAGTCAAATGCTCAAATTAATTTAAATTTTCATGTGATTTTTACATTACAAAAAAGAGACTTGATTTGACTGAGATCCAATGAAAACATGAGAGTTGATAACATTGAAGATCATGAATTACCCATAAAATAGCTAGCAAAAGGCAGGCGCGGTTTTTGGGTGGCTAACTCACAAACAAATCGCGCCTATATGCGCTTAGGCATAAAATCATTTAACTATTATGAATATTGTTTGATTGAATTCAAAATGAACTAAAGTCTAATTTAAGACAACTTGGAAGCTTATTTTACATGTCTAAAAGTTCATCACAATATGGATAAATTTGAAAGTTTGGAACTATGTTGAGTTTATGAGTCTGACTCAGTTTCTTGGCACTTCATTTGTTGTTTATATCATATTTCTTATCTGCTTTTTGCTCTATTTTTACAGAAAATGCAGATGCACTCAAAGTCTGAGTCTGTTGCACAGTAGCACCCTTTAACCTGGCATATTTTGTTGTGGCATCGGTTGCTATAGAAACTGGCGATTTGAGGCTCCAGCGAGATTGAGGCAGTCTTCGCCAATGAGTTGGTTGATGAGCAGTGCTGTGTTGGGTACCTCCCATTTTTAAAAGAAAAACTGATAACTTTCTTCTTGTGCTCCTCACATTTGTCATCGTTCATGTCTGCAAAGAGGTGGTGAAAGTAAGGGGCCGATGACAAAAAAAAAGCTTTTAAAAGGATCGTCGCAGTATATAAGGACATTTTCCCCAGGTTGACTTTTATGTCCAGGGAGTTAGTGGAGATCAAGGCTTTTGTTTCAGATGGATGAAATGACTGGCAGATTTGAGGTTGCTTCGGATAATAACTCCAAGGAAGTTGAATTTATTGAAAACGTCTATTCTCTTTCAGTCAAACTGGCAGTAGTCGGATCATTTGATCGGTCCCCTTCACGGAACTTAATAATTTTTGTTTTGCCTGTGGGATCTCTCAAATCGCTACGCAGTAGCCCTTGAGTTTCTGTAGGGCCTTGATGATAGCGTTCGATATCTCTGCTGCCTAGCAAGGTCGTCGGCAAAAAAAAGGTTCGGCTCCGCAGTTTGCAAGGATAAAGCCCAAATTGGCAGTAAACAGTGAAAACAGTAGTGGTGATAATTTGTCTCTTAGAGCGAGTTCGATGTTTTGTACTATTATACTAGTAAGTCCTATCTCCTTAGTTTTACTATATATTTTTTTGCCATGACCAATTTGTTTAGAATTTGCAGAAAATTTAGCGGTACTCCAAGAGACCCGAGCTTCTGGAAGAGCATTTTATGGTCTATTGAATCAAAAACTTTTTGGAAGTCGACAAAAAACACATTACACGGGCTGTGTTTGTCGAATGCTGCCTGGACTCTTGTCGTGATTAGGTTTGCTGCAGTGAAGGTGGATTTGATCTTCCTGAATCCGTGTTTGTTTTTAGGGAGGATTTGAAACTACTACGTCCATTCTGCAAGGCGCTGATGTATCATGTGAGAAATTATTTTTGCTATTGTTATGAGAATGGCAATTCCCTTATACTTTTCAGGGTGCATTATTCATACTTTTTGTTTGTAAAATGGGATTATGTACGATGTTTTCAGTATTCAGAATTTCTTGTTTAATTGCATGGCTCTGAAAAAAAATTGAGAGAGGAACGTGATATGGAGTGTGGCGTTGCGGCACTAACCTGAAAGCCCATCTAATTCTGTAGCTTTTTAAATTTTGATATTCCGAAAAGCTTCCATCATTTAATACTCGGTTATACTGGCAATCTAGGTAGGTAGAATATTCGTCACTTTTGGTTGCAACGTTGTCGTGGTCCGTAAAATTAGGTCGTCCAGGGTCCAGTCGACTTGCTGTTTACATAAGAATATCGAAATGATTTTGTAGTTCGAGTATTCACAGATGTTTGGTTTGGATGGACAGATGTTTGGTTTAAAATTTTTCGTTTTCAGTACTTTCCAGAATTGGTTCCGGTCACATTGCACTGTAGTTATTAGTAGTTCTATGACTTTTTTAGTTTTATACACCAGTTTGGTCAGTTCACATTTTGGTTTATAGATTAGGTTCTACCGATGGAAGGTGTCTGTGTTTTCTATAGTTGGTTAGTTGATGCGAGGAGATACGCACTATGATTTTTGTTTTGACTTTACAATACGAATTAATCATTGGGATAACTATCAGGTTGACCCAAGTAGTTTAAATGAGCGAAACCTGATACAAATACAATTTTAAGACATCTTTGCAACTGAGTTTTTTTTAGATCGGTAGAAATTCCCGGCGAGCGAAAGTCATCAATTGCCTTACTCGCCTCACTAAGCCAGCATGGCGTTGCAATTATTGCCGAAAATCGATAAAATTATATCACAAAATACTCAAAAATTCAAGTATGTTGATCATTTTTAAATAAGATTCCGCAGCCAAATACTTAATGCAGTGTCAACTGATTTTTGCTGCATTGTTCTGGAATACGCTGTGCAGCTAGTTATGTAATCAAGGTTATTATATTCCGCCATGGACTCCGCAGGTCAAAAAAAAATTTCCGTGGATTTCACGGATTGTTAACCTGAGTGGTGGTTATGGTTATGACGACTGGGCATCTTTCTTTTGTCGCCTATTCTGCCTGTGGTGAGGAAGCCAGACTGGCTATAGTTTGGCCGACCTCTGTTCCCTCCGTCACCTTCTAGTAATCTCTGTCGTTCCTTAGCGGACTTCGAGGGAAGAGGTTGGAAGGCTGATCCCATGTTGAAACTCGATGCCGATGTTGTGACACTACCGCTGCTAGTAGTGGTGGGATGTGAACTAATTCCTCCGCCGCCTGTACTTGTACTTGCACTGGTGCTGTTTTCCCTACTGCTGCTTGCAGTTGCTCGCACACTCATACCTAAATATCGGCATCTTTTTAAACACAGACAAATTATCGCCCTGTTGAAAATTCTGAAATATCGGCAATGCAATGAGTCAAGAATTAAATCAAGAATTTCCCAGCAGAATGGATCCTGAAAAATCAGGTTATTTGTTTTGTAGCATCATCTTTTTAAAAAAATTTTTAAAGCATCAGTTATGCGAATCTAATATCTGGTCCGCTCGCGTGCTTCTTATCAATGGTGATTGATTATTCCCGCTAAATGACATTTGAAGAAGTAGTAAATAACCTCCCAAAATGTTCTCGATACTGCTAATAAATGATCGACTTTAGATGCAGACAAATTGGAACTGCTTCCGGATTTATCTGCGAACTGTGGCGAGGCGATCTTTAAAGCGCTAAACTATCTATCAGGTATAAACCCTTGACCGACTCACAATCAGGTCAAAAAAAATCTCGATTTGCACGCGCATTTGATCTTACGACCGAACATAGTTAGAGCTCTAACTTTACCTTTACTTTCTACCGTGGCATAAACCTAAGTTTTAAAATTATAGAACATCAAACTTGGGCTGAAATAAGTTTTTATTCTGCTTGAAAATCGTTAAAATCAAACTAGAAAAATTAGAAGTCAACCACGTTTTTTGTGACCTTTACATTTTTCTGTTCAATGGTTTTCATCATTATTGTAATCGGAAGTTTCTGTATTATATGCCCCGCAAATGGCTATCCAAATGTAGCCGAATAGTTTCCAATTCGAGTCGTATAAATTTTTCATTGAATTAAAAAACTACGAAACAACGCCAGATAAAAATATTCTGACTTGTTATTAAAAACATAGCCAACTGGCAGTTGGAAAAGAGCAATGAACGCAAGGAAACAGAAAAAACTGAAGAAAACACGAAACAATTTATGATGGACACTTTTTGGATAAAACAAACCCACTTTGAGAAAACTGGATCAATAAGCAAAGTTTTTATTTCGCTAGAAAATCCGATAATTAATTTCCATTTTCAAAACTAGAAGCCAGTTACGTTTTACGTGACCTTTAAACTTTTGCTGCTCAATAATGGAGCTTGCTTTCCGATTACCAAAAGAAATGAAGTAAACTGAAAAAGAAATCAAACCACAAGAAAAATCAAAATTGAGCGTGAACAAAATTGAAGACTTTTCTGAAAAAACTTTAAAAAAACACTATGACCTATATAAACTCAACTTTCAATATTCAAAGAACAAAAAAACTTGCCTCAAAGCTCATGGAATTTTGAGACCAAATTATGATGAAATTAACCCAATTTGAGAAAAGTGCTTAAATAGGAAAAATTTTGATTCCGCTGAAAAATTTGAAACTTAAAATCGAATTTAGAAGCCGATCACGTCTTTCGTGACCTTTACAAAATTTTGGCAAAGGAAATGATATAGACTTTTAAAACATCCCAGTCAAACAGCAAAAAAAAACAGATTTTAAGCTTTTTCTCCTGATCAAAAAATTACACAGAGGCGAAGCTGCACTTCGCACACACTTGCGAGAACGCGACTAAAAAGCAGCCTTATCAAGTGAAATAAAAAAGTAGAAAAAAAACCTCGAATTTGCAAGGTTTAGCAAAAACTACAATTAGCAAAAATCTGCGATCTAGCAAATTTGAGTCTCACGCACTAACCATTCAGCCACGGATGCTTAAAATCCCCAAAAACTAGCCAAAAATTGCAGCTACATATGCTAATAAGTTGCCAACTCGAAGCAGCAAAAGTAGCATCAAATACAAAAAGATACAATTTTGCATATATATAAATCGCAAATCATAAAGCCACATGATGTTTAAATTATGCATTTCAAAAAATTGCAATATATTGAATTAGAAAATTTCTGAAATCGAGATTTTACTATTGTTATGTTGTTTGAATCAAATAGCTTTCTTCGGTTCACTTGATGAATTAAAAATACATCAACTGTGTAAAATTATAACTATTCGAATGTTAAAGCACATGTTTTCAATAAGCTGTAAAGGTGCAACAAATTGTTAATCATTTAGTAAGCGAATTCAATACAGCAAATATTGTTACAAAAGTCGCAACAATATTTGCGAGTTAGGTTGGAAAAAAAAGTTCGTTATATGACCGATAACGCTACTGGGAAAAAATGAATGAGTCTACAAAATTTCTCATGTGACGCACGCCAATTATCAAACGCATTAGCAAAACCAGTCAATTTGAAAAAAAAAATTACCAACTAACATGCCTCATTTTATAGAGCAGTTTGTGCAGCAGTAATAGCATGAAAAAATAAATGCAATAAAAATAGAATTAAGTTTTTTTATTTTGAGATTTTTTGTGAAAATCATTCATCCACACGCCATATTAAGTACAGAGTGATAAATTTCGCTCCTAGTAGCAAATCAATTATGGCAAATAAGCTTCCTTTCAACCAATTTGGAACGGTTTCTCTGACGGATTAAATGTCCGCTTATGCGTTAATAGCGCGAAATATATCGCGCGTTAATTGTCCCAAATTGGCCAAAATTGCAATTTGTAACCCGCATAACATTACGAAAAAAGATCACAGGTGAAGAATCTTTCCAAAATTAAGCTCAAGACAACAATATTCTTTGAAAAAGTTTTGAAAATCCTGGCAAAAATGGCCATTTAAAAAGTCGAAATTTGTCTGAAGAAAAAACCCACCCGAGCACAATAATTGCGTTACTTTCGTTACAAAGGGGAACAATAATAGTCTGTGTTAAAATCCTTAGCATTGGCTGTACTTAATAGCTGATTATTGACCAAATTGTACACTTTCAAAATGAACACATTTTATCGCAACAATATTTGCGACTTAGGTTAAAATATATATATAGTTCATACTATAACACAAGCATTGCTTGTGTAATCACGATCTTAAAAGACCTCACTGCGTTCATTGAATCTTAAAAAAGTGAAATCAGGAGAAAAAAAGACAAAATAAGAAAAATTCAACTTTGATCTCGTACAGGAATCGCACCCCGACCTAGAGTTTAGGAGCCTCACTTTTTTGGATCTGCGCCACGGTAGCTTCGAAATATACTAACACTATCCGCCAAAAAAGCAGCTCAAGATGCTTTTAAAAAGTCCATGCTATGCATTGAAGCAAAAACGCTCCTAAAAGAGAACGTTTATTTCCGAGTTACATTGCATAAAACAGTGAATTTCATGACACTATGCTTGCGGAAAAAATAGTTTGATCATCTATCAGATTCGAGCCTACGCGAGCTTAGTTGATAATAAACAAACCGTGAGGAGTATCAGATCGTGCAAATACAGTCGTCATGTGCACACCGTCATATGCTTGCCCATCATCTGGACTGGTCAAGCTCCGAGTGAGATTCGAACCGGTGTTGATATGCGAGGAGGACCTGGTTACCGCTGGCGATGCTTCCAATCCCCGAGGCGGCACCGAACTATCTGGACAAACTGTCGATTCATCAAGATCCAGGACGTTCACATTTGGCTGGTAGTTATGATCACAGAATCTATTGTAATGCCTCAGATAAGAAGGCGTCTCCGATACTGCATTCGAGGGCAGTCTATTGTTGTAGTAAGCGCCCACATTTGGAATACTTGTCGGGTGCTCTGAATTGCCTAACGAGTGTCCGCGATCTGCTGACACTCGACTACTGAAATCACTGGCCCCTCCAGTGCTGTGCTCACTGTGTTCGGCAGCTGCCCTTATTTGTACACTTCTCGGCTCCTGAAGATGAGTGGCGCGGGTTCTCGACAACGTGGCTGCTGAATCTAGTGCTCGAAGGTTGGCCTGCGACAAAGAATGCATACTTCGCTCAGTAGGTTCGTCCGGCGGTGCCGTCTGGATAAATGGAACAGGTGCTGGACCAGCTATGAAGGCTTCTCCTATTTCCAAACTGTTGAAGCTCGCACCTAAACAAGTTTAAACTGAGAATTCTACCCTCAAAATGCACGACAAAATGGAGCTCCGATAGGCAGACCGAGCTTCGAAAGCCATACAGCAAAAGGAAAGACTAATATCATCGGTTGCAAATGTCGAGAGTATTGATTTTGGGCTGGAGATCCGACACGAAAACAACATTGATTCAGTTTCGACTCCATTTGCTCACGTTCCTTGCTATCATCGCCACAGACCAAGAAAAATTAAGTATACTTGCCTGAGTGCTCTGCTGGTGCAGAGTGCATGTGACTGGCACCGAGGAAGTTGTCGTAGCTCATCGCGGACGAGATCAGAGGACCCGAAAGGAAGTGACGGTCAGCTTGTGAGAAGGGAGAGTAAGCTGTGCCCCCTCTCGTCGGGCGCCCCCTTGCCCCAATTGGGAGTCCGTCCGGGGAATCGGCCGAGAAGAAGTGTGTAGTGGATACTCCTGGAACAAAAATGGCAAAATATGTACAATTGCGTCCAGCGGCAAATCTAGGATTTTCAAAACATTAGCGCACATAAATTTTATTTTGTCATTTTTTTCGAGAAAGTATACGATGGTATAAGTTGCGATTTATGTTGACAGTTTTTATTATTTTTTTTTCACAATTTCAAGCCGCTTATCACCAATTGAATCGGATTAAATATTTTTGGTGAGATTTCAATTCGGAGAGTTATCGGCTTTTTGAAGTTGATTCAGTTTTTTTTGATAGAATACGTATTACTAACCTTGTACGGGATTGAAAGAAGGATGCTCGTTGTCTCTGACTGAATTTGAGGCACAGGAGATGCTTCCTGACTCGCCTCCCTTGCTCGTGCTATTTTGCTTCGTTCCCAGATTAGAAGAATTGATTGCAGTGGCTGATCTGAGAATGAAACTGGCTCCATCTACCGAGCGATCTAAACAGTTGCAAACGTTCAGATCATTTTAACATTCGCAAATTAAATTAACATTAGTTCAGTGTTTTCATCAATATTTTCAAAACAATTTTTAAAAGCATTTAGAAACAATAATGAAAATGGGAAACAAAATTTCCAGCCTCTAAATGCTAAAGTAATGTCACCTATACATTCAATGCTATCAAATTTGTTCTGCGCGCTATCTTACCATAACTGTAGGTCTGGCCGCGTGCTTTCTGCTTGCAATAGTAGAGGATGCCAACCCAGATGAAGGAAGTGACCACCACACAACATACCACTATAATCATGATGATGCCAATCGTCACACTCAGGGGTGACCCTTCCCCAAAGTAGTCAAAAAAACCCTGATCATTGTTATTCTGTCTCCTATTCTGAACAACTCCACTGGACGAAAACACACGAATGTTGGCCCTGTCAGTCACTCTTCCGATTTGGTTCAGCAACTCGCACGTATACTCGCCCGAGTGACTTAAATTAACATGTGGAATCACTAGCATCTCGCCCCTGGATATGAAGCCACCAGGCGCGCTTCCATTCTTGGAGAAGTTGAGCAGACGCTGGTCTTTGTACCAGTGGATTTCCGGTTTGGGAACCCCCTCGTTCAAGCATGGGAGTGCGACACTCCCTCCTACTATAGTATCTATGTCGGATAGCTGCTGCAGAAAAACTGGCACTTCTGAAACACGCAACTGAAATTTAATACACATAGCCAACAGACAGTTTGAAGAGTCAATGAACGCAAATACAGAAAAAATTACTTATTTTTTAAACAAAATCTCAACCTTCGAATTTTAAAGAAAAAAACCTTATTGCTCTTTGAATTTCTAGAACAATTTATGATTAAAACTTTTTCGATAAAATTGACCAAATTTGAAAAAACTGGATCAATAGGTAAATTTTCTATTCCGCTGGGAGATATGAAACTTAAATTCCACTTTCGAAACTAGAAGTCGATCACGTTTTTTGCAAACTTTAGACTTTTGCCGTTCAATAGTGGCGTTTTTCTTTCTTTGAAAAAAAGGACTTGAACTGAATTTAAAAAAAACCACAAGTGAAAGCTCGAAAAAAATTAATTTGAGCCTGAACAAATTTTAAGACTTTTCGTGAAAAAAAAAAGAAAAAACCATCAGCACCTATATAAGTTCTGACTAACGTTCATCGACTCTTGAACGAATTGCCATAAAAAAAACTTTCGTAAAGCAAAAACAAGCGAAATTACCTAAGGGAAAAACCACAATGGTGTGAATGCTATGAATATTGGAACGGAGCAATTTTTGGCCCAATTAATTTAAGTTGCACATTTCCCCTCATCATTAAGGGAATTTACTAAATGTTAGGTGACAAGTGCAGAAGTGGATTCCGACCCCTGACTAGCGAAATGGTCTCTCCATTTGGTACTATTTTAAGACATCCATTTTTGGATGTGTTGTGTAAGGGGCGAAATGTTTGTAAAGGATGAAGTGCATGTAAGGGTGAAATTTGTTTTCAGGGGCGAAATGCGAGCAAGGGTTGGAATACAGCGCTGATTTAAATTATCCGCATAAAACTTGAAATTAAAAACGGGTTTTTCTCTCAATATTTTGATTTTAGACAGAAAATGAAAAATGATGAAGACCAGGGGCGGATCTAGGATTTTCTCTCGGGGGAGGGGGGGATTTTGAAACGAACTTTTTTTATAGGTCGACCAAGCTGATTTTCCTAGCTCTCCCAAAGCACTAAAAAGACACTGTTTTGGCCGAAACTTCTGCGCTGCAGGCAATATTTTGAAAAAATATGCCAAAAATAGCGTTTTTAGACCTTTTTTGCAGAACTTTTTTTAATGGCATTTTTTCTGCGCGCGCTCCCCCCTAAAATTAGTAAATATTGTCGCCATAGGCGCCATTAGAAACAATTTTGGGTCCGTCAGCCAAAACTGGATATCCCAAAATAGTACAGGGGGACCCTTTGGGTTGGCAGGGGCTCAAATCCCTGAGGGGGGGGGGCATCCCCCTCCCCCTAAATCCGCCCCTGATGAAGACAAAACTTGTTTCGAATTTTAGCAGCATTAATCATGAGCAAAAACTTTGTGCCCGAATTTTGCAAAATGAATCGCATCATATTTATTCTGCTAGCAACATTTATTGCCAAAAGTCAACCCAATTTGAGAAAAGCGCGTTTTAATTTTCAAGTTTAATTGGTTTTGTCTGGATAAATTCAATCAGCACTGGATGTGTAAGGGACACAAAATGTATGTACACTTATTCCGAGAATACTGACTCTTTTAACAAAGAAAAACAACTTGCCTAGAACATTTATGTAAAAGTCCTTGGATACATTCCCAGCCGCATTAGTCGCTTCACACGTGTAAACTCCGTCATCCTGTCTTTGCAAGTCACTGATGTAGTACTTGGATTTGAAATACTGCAGTCGCTTTTCTGAAGCAGCCGGAAACTTTCCGTGATGATTTTTGTTGAACTTTATCTCCGGCCTTGGGTCTCCACTCGCTTCGCATTCCAGTTCGACAGGTCCTTTCGACCTCGCAGATACATTGCGAGGTGGGAGAGTAAAAAAGGGCTTCACGTTTACTTTCAGCTCAGCCGCTTCTGAGTAAACAGATCCAAACTCATTGTGAACTGAGCATGCATAAGATCCCTCTTCGCTATTTGTGACATTCCTCAACACAACCTTCGAGGACATTATTATGGTCCCGTGGCCATCTGCAGTCGGAATACGGTCCAGTTCAGTCTCTATACTGAAACGATCGTTTAGATCTGAGGGTAGAATGAGCTTCGAGTTCACGGTCCATTCAATCGCTGGCGAGTTGTTTGACCCGCTGGATTTGGCCACACATAGAAAAGAAGTGTAGCTGCCCTTGATCACTGACTTGGACTTGGGCTGCATCTCTATGTGGGGCCTGGCTGATGTCTCTCCACATTGCAAATGTTTCGCACTCATCAGAGACTGTCCTCTCAATTCGTCCGGATATGCACATCTTAAAAACTTTCCAAATTAAAAAAAAAACTTGAGAAAGAGGAAAAGACGAACTTTGCATTACTTGAAACCCAGTCGATGAACTCAAGAAAACCAAAAAATGAATGATTTTCCTGATAAATTTCCACTATTTTACTTTCGAAGAAAAAATTCAAGTTTAGGCTCTTTGAATTTAAAGTCTTTTTGTTCCGACCATTGAAAATAGGGAGGAACTTTGTATTCGAGTGTGTTTTAACTTTTTTCTTTTTGTCTTCCACGCAACATCAGCTACCACCAATAATCATTGGACTGCGCTGAGTAATATATCATATTAAAGCCCTTTCAGTCGTGATTCGAGCATTTAAAAATTGTCCCAGTGTCGAGAAAAGGTTTGAAATTTTTGAATTTTCGTCTTAATTTGAGCGAATAAAGCAATCGAGCAGGCTTAAAACAGCTAAAATATGCATAATTTAAGACCTTAAAACTTAATTTTAAGCAAGTAAAACTGGTTTATGGAGTTTTTAAGCTTCATTTTGGGAACCAAAAACTTCAAAAGTTTCTCTGCAAAAAATTTAAAAACTTTCACTTTTTTCTAGTCATTTTTCTACAAACATGTTTTCCAATTGGCCTACTTTAATATGATTGGCCAACATGCCTAAGTTCTAATTTTTCTATCTATCTTTTTGAGATCTTTTCATTACACCAAGCAGAAAAAACGACACTAATTAGAAAAAACTTTTTTTTTTAAATATTTTTGAGACTATGGTCGGAACATTCTATGCTATTTGCACAGTAACCGGCATTCCTTGTTTCTGATTGTATTTTCTTTCATTATACTAACCTAATTAGAGAAAACTGGGTCAATTGGTACTTGTTATTCAGTTGGGAAAAATATAAACTACAATTCACTTACAAAAAGTCATTCACGTTTTATCGCGCCATTTTCACTGTCATAAATGAAGAACGCCATTTGCCTTCCTTTTAGCAAACAATGGAATTGAACATGACAAAATCAAAAACCAAAAAACGAAAAACGAATTTGAGTGTAATCAAATTAGACTTTTTCCTGAAAAAAACTCAAAAACCACATGACCTCAATAAGTTCTCATCACACCATTCAATGACACTTAACCAGCTAAACATTTAATTAGTTTCCAATTCATGTTTTGATATTGTCTGCAATGCATGCAATTCCTGAGGAACAGCGAGAAAACTATGTGAAAACCGCTCAATGATGAAAAACGAAATCCACTTTTTTCTGATTGCAAATAATACAAGATAAAAACTATACAGATTATATTTTACAACAGCCAAGACAAATAAAACATAGCCAACAGGCAGTTGGAAAAGAGCCAATAAACGCAAATAAACAAAAAAAAACTGACTTGCTTTACGAAAAAAATTTTTTTTTCGAATTTCAAAGAAAAAAATAGATGAATTTCAACAAGCTCTTTAAATTTGTAAAAACAATTTATGATTGACACAATTTCGATAAATTTAATCCATTTTCAGAACACTAGTTCAATAACTAAAATTTTAATTTCACTTGGAAATCAGAAAATTGAATTCCATTTTCGAAATTAAAAGTCAGTCACGTTTTTTTGAGACTTTCACACTTTCGACGTTCAAAATTTTCCTTCTTTTAACAAAGTAAGTGAACTGAATTTGAAAAGAAATCAGAAGTCAAATCGCAAAAACGTGATTTCGAGCCTAAACAATATTTAAGACTTTTCCTGGGAAAAAAATCATCGCGACCTATGAAAAAGTCTGAACAACGTTAAAATCTGCCTCAAAATTAGAGTTACAAACTGTACAAAAACTTTGACTTTTTTCTGAATAGAGCGCTTGCCAAACCCCAGTCTACTATTCAAGGAGACTATTCTCCGATCGATTAAATAGGCTAGAAGACAAGGAAACCAATAAAATATGTGGGTTGTTGACTAAAAGATTAATCGACTAATTGTACTAAAAAATTGCGAACAAACACAATTACTTGCAACAATTAGATGATAAATACAGTCGGTCGCTCCACAAAAAGTAAAAAACAGCGAACTGACAGTCGAAAAAGAGTAATGAACGCAAGAAAACAGACAAAAACCTTCAACTTTTTTATTTCGAAGAAAAAAACAGATGACCTTAAAAGCTCTTTGAATTTGTAGAACCATTCATGACGGACACTTTATTAACCCAATTTGAGAAAACTGGATTATTACGTATAACTTTTATTTCGCTGCGAAATCTGATAATTAAAATCCATTTTCGAAATCAGAATACGATCACGTTTTTCGTAATCTTTACACTTTTGCTGTTCGATAGTGGAGTTAGTTTGCTTTCCTTTTAACGATGAAAATGCACTGAACTTGAAAACGAATCACAAGTCAAACCGCGAAAAATCAAAATTGAGCGTAAACAAAATTTTAGACTTTTTCCTCAGACTCTTTAGACTCTTTAAAAAATCAGCAAAACCAATATAAGAGTACTCACTACGTTCATTACTCTAAAAAACCAAATATACCCAATCGAAAATTGGAAAAGAGTAATGAACGCAAGTAAAGATAAAAAAAAACACTGACTTTCGAATTTCGAAGAAAAAATAGATGCCCTTTAAGCTCTTTGAATTGCTGGAACAATGTATGATTGGCGCTTTTTTGATAACATTAACACAACTTAAGAAAACTGGATCAACAGGTAAAGTTTTTATTCCGCTGGAAATCTAAGAATTAAAATCCACTTTCGAAACTAGAAATCGTTCCCGTTTTTTCGCGCCATTTCCACGTTCGCAATTGGAGAGTGCTATTGACAGCACGTTCAGCATATGAATTTAAAGCGAATTCAAAAAGTGCCTACATATCTAAGAGCAATCATAAATGCATCAACAGATATGAATGCACATCTGTACTTATTAGAGTATTTTAAGAATTTTTCCTGAAAAAAAAAACACCAAGACGTATAAAGAGTCTTCACTACGTTCATTACTCTTAAAGATCTACCAAATTATCGGCGAAGAACACTTATCACAGCATAACAACTCTTACCGAATACATACATTTACCACCTATATAGCACTCCTGAGCGCACCCTTTGTTATTTCTAAATTTCATATTTCTGTTGGCATATTTGGAAAAAAAGTACCCAGTAAGACTTTCTCAGAAGAATAAGATCTAAATTAGAATAAAAAATACATAAAGCACATATATTTTCCTATCTATACCTCAAAATATACAAACAAATGAATTCTGAGATAGGAAATGAAGTTGAGCATCCAAAAATTCAAATCAAAAAAGAAAAAACTAGAGTCATTCAGTTTTAAACTCGCGCAGCAACCAGACACAATTAATCTTTATTTTAGAAAAAGGTTGATTTTTTAATATTGACGTAACCTTACATTATGTTGAAGCTTGCGTCGAAAAAAGCGTGGCCAAGAAGCCATGATTCGATCCATTTGGCATTGCAGTCGCAGTAGAAATTCTTCGTCGAGATTTCGAATCTCTCCAGGCTATGAAGATTAGACTTAGTCACCGACTTCTGAGAAAGAGTCGAAAGCGATGTGTTCCTCAGGTATAGATATTTAAGGCTGGGCGGTAATTCCGAGAAAATCACACCTGTAACACGGAGTTCGTCCATTGGAATCAATTGCGATGGCAAAGACATTATCGTTCAAAATACCGTTTTTGAAATGTTTGATGCTTTAAAAAAACTTGCTCAATAAAACCCTGAGCTCTGTAAGCTTATAATTGAAACACGCAAGTAAAAATGAGGATATTAAACAGAAATCCTAGGCAACCAACCTGGGATATTTTTGATGGGGTTGCTGGATATATTTAAACTGAGCAGCCTGGTCAAAAACAAGAAGATTTGTGAACTCTTTTCGAAGGAATGGAGTGAATTTTGGGCCAGATCTAAACTCTCTAGTGATATCAGATTTGCGAAGGCACTGTTTGCTATGCTTGATATTGCATTATGCGATAAGTTGAGCGTCCTTAGCTGAGACGCTGTTCCGACTGCTAGCACTTTAGATATTGCATTGTAGGAAAGGTCGATAGTCTTCAGAGTTTGAAGAAACTGCAGGGGCAAATTCCCTCCGAATGTCCCGATCGAATTATGAGACACATCCCTGAAGAGTACAAACTCGGTAAAAAAATCAATGAAACATTCTAAATGTCAAATTAGACCAACTTACAGATATGTTAACTTGCTGAGTCCGAAAAAGGTGCCATTCACAAGTTGCCGTAACTCATTATGGCTGATGTCAAGTTTAGTGAGCGAATCCAGATGGTAGAACGTTGCACTCTGCAAGTTCCAAAGGGCATTGCTGCTCAAATTGAGTACTTCTAAAGCCTTCAGTCCCACAAAGCACAGGGACTCGAGGGTGTGAATTTGATTAGAGGATAGATCTAATTCTTGGAGAGAAGAAAGCTCTCTGAAAATTGACTGATTTTTGGTAAGAGATGAGAGCAGATTTCCGCTAAGTTTCAGAAGTTCGAGTCGCGGCACAGATGTGAGAGATCCGCTTTCAATTGACCAAATTGCATTGTGGTTCAAGGAACTGAAAGGAATGGTCAGTAAATAAAACGAAGCCAACAGACAGTTAGAAAACAGACAATGAACGCAAGGAAGCAGAAAAAACACTGACTTATTTTTTGAAACTTTTGAATTGCAAAGAAAAAATTTATGCCCTTAACACTCTTGAGCTTTAAGAAAAGTTCATGGCTGGCACTTTTTTGATAAAACTGATCCAAATTGAGAAAATTGGATCAGTAGGTAAATTTTCTATCCCGCTGTGAAATCTAAACTCCACTTTCGAAACCAAGAGTCGATCACGTTTTTCGCGACCTGTACGTTTTCGCTGTTCGATAGTGAGTTTGCCTTCCTTTCAAAAAAGGAAATTAATGAGCTTAAAAAGTCAAACCGCGAAAAATAATAAGAGCGTGAACAACTATTAAGACTTTCTTCGGAAAAAAATCAAGATCTATGTGAGAGTCTTCGCTACATTCATTAACTCAAAATGAAATTTCATAAAAAATCAAAAAAAAATGTATAACTTACAGAGTCTCCAGGACTAAACAGTCTGACAAATCTGTCTTCCGCACAACTCGTATTTGATTTTTATCTAGATTTAGATACTTGAGGTAGGGGAACTGTTGGCACAAGCTGGTGGGAATAGAAGAAAAGTTATTCGATGACCTGTAACAAAAATGTTTTGAGCTGATTGCATATTTTATATACACACTGCATTATAGCACGGATTTTTATGCAAATCCATACTTACAAATCAAGATTGATTACAGAATATACTCCAGTTTCACCTCCCAAAAACGAAGATAGCTTATTGTTCTCGAGTTTTCTGAAAACACAAACAACATTAATTGAGTGTTGAAAAACATTTGGGCTACTACTTTGCGTCACTAACAGTGTATCAAGATGTAGCTTCGAGAGGATAGAGACTGGAAATGATTGCAGTTCATTTTCGGAAAGAGACCTGAAACGACCAAATGAGCTTACGGTAAAATGCGACTTATCACACAGAGCCGAAGCAGTGAATAGAAAATGAGACGGAAATAAATAGGTCGAAAAAATCGTTGAACACAGAATTTTTACGGAAAAATTAGGTAATTCAATTTCAACTAGAAATAAAACCGCCAGTGTTTCATAGATTACTATTATTATTATTTTTTTAAATTGATGTCATCAAAAAACTTTCAGCGAGTTAGTTTTAAAACTTTGATCTTTTACACAACAACCACAATCCTCTAGAAAATCTGAAAATAAAAATTCAATTTCGAAACTAGAAGTCGATCACGTTTTCGTCACCTTTGCTATTTGATAATGCAGTTTGCCTTCCTTTTAACAAAAGAAACGAACTGAACTTAAAAAGTAATCAAACATAGCCAACTGACAGTGGGAAAAAAGCCAATAATTGCAAGGAAACACGAAAAAACTGGTGCGTGTTTAAAAAAACCTCAAACTTCGAATTACGCCATTAATAAAAATATAAGACTTGATAACCTTTTAATTTTAGGACGAAAAAAATATTAACATATTTTTGACAAAAATTTGGGAAAAGTGGATCATAAGATCTGATTCCTCTGCGAAATGAAAAACTAAAATCCAATATCGAAACTATAGTTCAAGTTTTTTTTGCGCCACTTAACAAAGCGTCTCTTAATCTACTTTATTCCAGAAGTTTCAATGTTTTGAGCAGATTGGGGCCCGACAGCATGTTTCTATCCCAACTCATTTCCGCTGACTAGTTGAATAAAAGTTGGTTAGTGATTTTATCTCTTACTTTATTTCACTAATGATCGTGTTCACAAACTTCTGTGTCCAAATATTAACATGTTATTTACTCTAAGTTAAATTTATTCATCTTCATAACTGCAATAACTTAAATTAAGCAAATATATAGCAGCAAATTTATCTTGTTTATGAATGGCGTACCTTTAGTTCGTCATACTTTGGTTCTTTCAATTAAATCCCCGGCGTATTTGATTTGCACTAAGGTAACAATTTTCATTAAAATACACATGAAACTGGGTTTGTTGTAACTCTCTAACTTGAGCCTATTTGTTTAGCTGCATTTCTAGGTATAGACTGCTTAATGAAAGCATAAAATAACTTTCATAAAATCTATTACTAAATCGAATTCTTTAAATTATCATAGCAAACTGATATAATCAAGTACGCATCTCGTTGAATTGGGCTCCGAGTTGAATTGAAGGTGTTTTCACACCTAATAAACTGGACATTGGTATCATTTTGATTCCTGCGCTGCAAGTTCTCTTAACTCCAAGTTGTTGTACTGTTACTGTTATTTCTCCCAATGACCATGATCTCATCATGCTTGTTCTGCTGCCTTCCATAAACTGTGGCATCTCTTCCTTCAGAATCCTGTCTGCCATTGACCCTCGTTGTCGGGGGACTGATATTGTTTCGTCGATTACATCTAAGAAGGTGTACTTCTTTTGCCATTCCTTTTTCGATTTCAAGAGTCTTGCTGTTTTTCTGTCTCGTTCATGCTCGTTAATGTACATCGCTACGACCAGTTTGATTTTAAAATCTCCGTGAGCTGTCTTTAGGGAACTTATAGTGATATCTCGGATTGCCTTCAATCGGTGGAAGAGGTAAGTACACAAGTAGAAGCAATGCATTTCCAATAAAAGACTCTTACAGTCAAAGCTAATAAGTTTTATCGGAACGAAACTTTCCAACGCGCGATAGGTTTTGAAATATCTTGGAATTGTTTCATATTCGTAACAATTGCGCTAGGCTCTCCATCAGTTTAAATTTGATATCTTCTTAAAGCTTGACCCTAGATTCAAAATAAGGCAGCTCGCTAGTCTTCGGAATTTCTGACATGAGATGCTTCCTGCTTAATTCGAATTATTGCAGCAATAAAGATGAATGCATTAAATTAAGCAACTAAATATGCCATCAAGTTTATCTACTTTCAATTTTCATGTTCGTATTTGGAGAGCACACTTATTCTAACTTAAGCAAAAGAATTTGAACTGAACTCAAAAAATGCATATATACAAACGCGCATTCATAAATTTTTTTTTTAAACAAAATTACAAAAAGGGCCCTTCCGTTTACTTACGGTAAGTGCACAAGCTGGATAGGGCCATACCAGCTATATAAAAATGCATATATATCAGCAATGAAGTCATAAATCAGCATTAAATGCATCGTCATAATGTTAATTTATCTTAGCCGTCCTTCCTCTACATTAGCGCTTATGGAGTTGTCGATAAATTGAACTTTGCGTAGCGATCTGCACCCCCTTATACAAAGTATAGAGCTCCTCAGGAGCGCGAAGCTTATTTTAGTTCTTATGTATTTTATAGATTCTGGGTAGCTTTCTTGTCTTTTTTCACTTAGTTTTTCGGCCAATCGCTGCATCGTCCGCGTGGCTGTTGGAGCAGCGCCACCGGTGCATTCAAAAATTAGCGGGCAGAAGCTACTCTGCTCTACGTTTAAAATTCTTTGCTGATATTTGGAGTTCTTCAGCGTTTCGTGGTATTTGTATGCATCCTTCTGCAGTTTTCGCGATGTTTTGGCATGGGGGTTGAAAATTTTCACATCAAAGAAAGCGCGGCTGAATCGTGAACCCCAGAGTCCGTTTGCCTTAATGTCAAGTCATGCCTCATCTTCAGTTGTAGTTGAATTGTTGACAAAGCTTTCGCCTTGCAACGGCTGAAGTTTCGGCTCAATCTCGACGTCATGGCAAACCTCGTTCATGAGGTTGGCGAATGTGTCTCTGATTTCATTGTGTCTTATGTGTGTGTAACCACCCTTTGCACAGTGAAGCGCATGTTTCAAGTTAAAATCAGCACCACATGCACATGTGAGTGGGGTTTTGGTTGGTTCCCATCCGTATCTTAAGTAAATACCATCTCTGAACTCTGATTTATTCAGGTTGAAGTTGTATCTGCTCAGTGGTAGAGCATTGAGCCAGTTAGAGGCTCCCTTTTCAGAGGCCAGGTCGATTGCGTATTTATCTGTTTCATTTAAGGAGTTATGAGGTTTGTCTTTTTTCGATTTGTTCTATCAGTTTTCAATTTTTTTATTTTCGTACATATTTTTTCTTGCTGTGTTACTGCTGTAATAGGATCTTGAGATTCCAGTACCAGTGATGTTTCCTTAGACCATTCTAGGTAGCTTTCATGATCGGATGGCAGCTTGATGTTAAGTCCGCCCATTTTAAGGGGTAAGGAAGATATCTCACGGAACTGGGGGTTTAAAGTGTCTTTACCGACTAGGTTAGGTAATAATTGTTCTTTGATAATATTTTCACATATTTCTAAGTTTTCCATAGTGTTAGGCGTTGTCCTGGCAAGAAATGAAAGCTTTTCTTGAACTCCTTTAGTATAGCAGGCATAAACGTTTTGAGGGGAGGTTTTAGCAATTTTGGTTAGTTTTTTCAAAATTTTGATTTGCTCATTCTGTTGAAATTCGAGGAACACTTATTCTAACTTAAGCAAAAGAATTTGAACTAACTCAAAAAATGCATATATACCCAACGCGCATTCATAATTTTTTTTTAAAACTAAATTACAAAAGGGGCCCTTCCGTTTAGTTACGGTAAGTGCACAAGCTGGATAGGGCCATACCAGCGATTTGGCATCGTCATATAATTGAACTGTATCTTAACAGGGAATTAACATTTCTATTCGTGCATATTTTCTTTCACGCTCACATATTTTCTTTCGCAGCAGAATTTGATGTATGAATGCAACAATGTAATTATTAGAGCATTTTAAAAAATTTTCCTGAAAAAAAAACAATCACCAAGACCTATACTGGACGACGTTGAAAACACATTAACAAAATTTTGAAAAGCCAAAAAAAAATTGCAAGGTGTATGTTTTCACCCTGTGCAAAATCTAATGGCTACCTCTTGCTCAGATACATCGCAGCAGAATTTGATGACTTGCCGGGAATTTTTTAAAAGAAAATATTGGCAAAAAACGTGAATAATAACCTATGTTTTACCTGATTCATTTTATAGAACTCACTTTAGCACCTTGCGTCAGTCACAGTTTTGGAAAAACATCTCCTTTTAAAAGGTCAATAAAAAAATTGAAGGGTGACCTAAAATATAACTTCAATTTTTCGATCACGATTGGGTTTGCTGTTTAATTTCGTGCATATTTTCTTTCACGCTCACAACGAAACTTGTTTCTTAATTGTGATCAAATTTGCTCAAAAAGCCTCAGTTTGTATGAAAAAATATCAGCAGAAACAGAAAAGTTCAATTTTTGGGAAAAACCGCTTTAACACTAGACCAAGTGGTAAGACGCCGCGAAGTTAAGAATCAATAATAAAGTTATCTCATTTTTTTAAAAAAGATTTGAAAGAAGATTGTTTACAAGAAAAATCTAGTTCCCGATTACAAGATACTCGCTCACGCAAGTGTGATCAAGAATTAATGAAGATGTGATTAATGTGACTCACAGAAATTTCAGGGACTTGAAGGACATGAGTTCCTGTGTCAAAGTATTTGAGATCGATTTGAGACCATTTCTATCCAGAAAACTAAAGAAAATCAAATAGTTGAGTATCATGCCAAAGAAAATGCACTTAAATAATGGCCAAAGAAAAACTGACAGATCTTTGACACGGTTCAATCGTCCCTGAAGTCCCCCAGCTTCGCTCAATCGTCCACTGCTGCAGTCCACATAATCGCGTCTGCAGATACAAAAATCGCAGCTATCAAAAGTTCCTAAGTGTAAAACACCGAGGATAAAGAAGATAAAAGAAACTCGAGTTCCCATGCATCTCAACTTTTCATTTATTCTGAAATGACACATCCAATGTTATTTGTTAGCACCTCAACAATTAAATTTAAACTTACAAGTATAATAAGATAATCAAGTACAACTAGATTATCTTCCAAGTATAATTCTCCTCAGCTCACATTCTCGCTTCAGACATTGTCTCCTGTTTATTACTGAACTCTTTAATTTCCACTTATTGTCCACACGTTGTCCTAAACATTTTGTAAACATACTGATGATGGAGAGACTTTTTGCTTTAGCTTCAAACGGGAAGATGAAAAAGTCTTTTTGCTTTAGCTTCAAACGGGAAGATGAAAAAGGGATGAAGTAAAGTTATAGCTGACACGGTCAACCAATTCGGCGTGCTTATGTTTTGCAATTGCAACAAGTACACAAACTTTATCAATGGACAAAACTAAGCTCAAGATCAGCTTTATACTGGAATTAAACTTTATAAATACTACAAGTGAACAAATTACACCAATAGATAAAATTAAGCTCAAATTCAGTTTTATACTGGATTTGTCAACAATTGGACATAAGAAATTTCAGCTGAAGATGCCAGATCTCTACTAAGTTTTGCATCGGAGTGAAATATTTTTTCGCGTATGGATACTCGAGTCGTCTACCCTTAGATGGCCTTACAATTTTAAAAGGGGTCAATTAAAATGGGCCCTTCCGTCATGCGACGGTACGTGCACAGGTTGGATAGGGCCGTACCAAAGCTATATAAATACATCGGCAGGATTTTATGAGCAAATCAAGTCGATTTTAATGCGTCCACAGAAGTGTCAATTTAAATGTACCCTCCTCGATTGTAGCACAGATAGAAATGTCCTCAAGAAAGCACAACATATTTTTGTTTTTAAAAAAAGTTTAGTGTCCGAGTATGATTTTTTTTTTTTCGGTAATCAGAAATACAAATTACTTTTTTAATCAAAGAACAATGTTATATACGTTTATAAACTGTAGATAATATTTTACAAGAGTGTTATGATATTGCCTCCAGTATACAGCCGGCGTTTCCGCGCTGTATCGCAAGATCCAGTCTTTGTCGCAGGTACTTAAAAGCCAACACCTCGCCTGTCGTATCTCGGATTTTTCTCGCTAGGTTTTGTAAAAACGTTAGAGATGACCTGCCGATTCCACCTAAGCTTTCAATCGCCACGGGCTCAAAAATTACTGTCGTTGGTAGATCGGAATAATGGTTCTTCTTACGGATTTCTGCCTGGGATGCGGCATTTGAACCTGGCAACACTCCCAAACGCATATTTGAGCTGGCCAGCCGTGAAACGCAGGTGAAGTCCCAAGCAAGCGTGCATCCTCGCTGTCACGATGTCAAAGTGAGGCCATCTGGCCGTCTTCCGTCAGACCGAAGGAGTCCGATCGGCTCTAAGGTGGAACTGAAGCCTGCTGTTCTTAGGGATTCCTTAATAATTATGTTGCAGTCGTTGTGTCGCGTGAACCTGTGCTTAATTTTGGGACAGACTAAAGGGTGCCTACCGTCTGGTGATGCAACATAGCCACATTTACACTGAAATTGTGCAGTAACGGGGGCTCCGATGCGTAAACCAGCAGCAATTTGGAACTCATTGTCGGAAAGTCTTAGTCCGAGTGTGCGTGATGGGAGAACGGTGGTCCACTCCCCGGACCCTATGGCCTGACATCCAAGAACCCGAGCAGCGTCAAGTTCAGATGTAGCTTCAGAGAGGACCTCGTTTGCCTGTCTCCCAAAAACTGGTTTCAACCATACTTTTTGTGAGGACGAGAGGTCTTGTTCAGCAAAGTATGAACCGCTGATGAGTTCCCAGTGACGTGAGGCGTCTGTCATGCTCGTCTCATGGGGAATGCAATTTAGCAGTTCATGCCTCAAACTCGCCGTTGCTACCATGGATGCTATGAACGCTGATGAACTGACTGTCGCCGTGCTGAGAACACCAAAGCCGCTTAATTTGACTGGAAGCGTGATTTGTTTGAAGGATCTGTCATTGATGAAACAATTAAATATTCTTTCTAACTCAATCTTGATCATTCCGTCTATCGCTTGGAGCAAATCTAAATGATAGAAAGCTGGACTTGAGCGCAAAATGAACATCAACTTGGGTATGAAAAAGCAGTTTTTAATGAGAAAAAACGCTGCTTGACATGAGAGTTTCTCTGTTCGTTTGATGAGAGTTTGAATGCCTTCGAGCTTATTTGCTAGCTCGGTCCGAATAGCTTTTTGCCCTAAACCAGCTCCTAGAAGGGCTGTGTCGTCGGGATCAACGCATTGAATAGAGGGAAACTCCTTCTTGAAGGCACTGTAGATGGAAGGACTTTCATTCCCAAACGCTGTGACCTCGCACTTTTTCTCATTCAGTAACAGCCCGATCTGAGCGGCTTCATGTTGGATCATCTTCAGATCGTCCAGTGCAGTTTGCCACTTGTCTCCAAAGGACACGTCATCCAAATATCCACATTTAAAGTAGCTATTGATCTTGAGAATAAGTGGGTGGATAGCCAGGCAAAAACCGAAAAAAAACCGAAGGTCAAAAGTATCATAGTAACCGAGGTTACAGTCATGAGTCCCTTCATCATGTATTCCAGTCAAAATCCTTGGAATTTTCTAGATATGGAATTGATAATGATAAAAGAAGATGTCAAGTGTTTAAGTCCTTTTCATTTAAAATCGATACGGGTTACGCTTCTTCAATAAGAACACGCAACTCGACACGAGATAATATAATATACAAGTGTTACAAGTAAAAAATTTCGTCGAAAGTTATTTTGTCATTTATTGTTCCGAGTACGCAAGCGGCGTTCGCAATCTGTATTGCCAGGGAGATTCTCTGTTTTAAAAAGCTGCCTGCTCTGGGTTCCTCAGTGCATATGCTTAGGTTCTTACAAAGCTTGCTCAAAAAAACTTCTGTGCTGGGGCCGGCCGCGCCCTGAATTTCAAAAGCTAGCGGTTGAAAAAGATATCCATCATTTACAAGATCTTTATATTTGTCAATTTTTCGCTCTTCCGCTTCAGCGGCAGCCGTACCAGGGTTACAAACAGACCCGGCATTAATCCTACAAGGGGCTAAGGAGTCTACTACCGTTACATCCCACAAGAGCTGCTTACCATCAGCCCATGGAACGAGCGTCAAACCGTCTGGTCGCTTCTGATCGGTCCTGTAGAGGTGTCTTGGTTCTAAAACAGACGGAATGTGAGTAGATGATAGACTCTGCTTTATAAGGGCATTCAGGTTTGAATGCCTAGAGAATCTCCCTGCACTTTTGAGGCAAGAAAGACCATGCCAACCATCCTCGGTAACGTCTTTTCCGCACACGCATTTATGCCGTTCGCATATTTTTGATCCTAATCGAAGTCCTATCGCAATTCTGAGTTGTTGGTTCGACAGTTTTAACCTTAAATTTTTGCAGGGGATGACGTTCAACCATTGGGATCCAAATCTATCTTGGAACGCGTTGAACCTTTTCACGTCCGTTGGTTCGAGTCGTAAAATCAAGTCTGGAATTTCGCTGTCAAAAATTGGCTCCGTCCAATTTTTTTGGATTTCATTTTCCGGAGCCATTTCAATTTTTCCAAGGTCAAACCACCGTTTAAGCGCATCATCATAGGTTCCATCCACATGCTCCAAACCAAAGATTTTGCTCAAGGCATCTTTCGCTCCTACTGCTGAGGCTAAGAAAGCGGGTAAAGCGAGTAGACGAGCGGAAGAAACGCCCAAGCCACCCTTGGCTGCCGGGAGAACTGCTTGTAAAAACTGGTTATCATCCATTTTCACGTTAGTGACCTTGCATAACGAATTTCTTAGTAATTTATCGTAGCGTTCCAAAAAATCATTTTGCAAAAAACAAGGGCTCGTACGCAAAAAATATAGGAGTTTTGGCATGCTAAAGCAATTTTTCAGGAGGTAAAAACCATAATGGGCGTCTAGTTTGTCAATGACATCCGAGATTTTTTCAAGCTCCCTAATTTTTTCGTCGAGTAATTCTTTTCGGCAAAGTTCGCCGATTGGAGATCCTAAAATGAGGAGTTCTTCTTTTGTTTTTATTTTTATTTTGGGGCATATTTTTCGAAATTGTGTTAAAATTGAATTATACTGTGTACTAGTAGTCGGTCCCAAAAAACAAAGTTCACACTTCTCAGTGTTTAAGCTCAGGCCGTAAATTTGTTCCGATTTCAGAATGTTTTTAAGGTCCCGGAGTACTACCTTATAGTCGTCGGCTAAATTCCCATCATCTAAATACCAGATGTTAATTTTCGACTCCAACTGTTTGACTAGTGTATGAATTGTTTCCGCAAAAAGGGGTGGGGTTTCAGGATCACCTTGCTGAGTTCCGTCTTCTGACATTATGACAGAGCTTCCGTAAAAAAGGTAACTAGGTTTAGCATACGCGCAATGGGTGTAATTATATAATTCGGGGCGATTTGAAAAAACATGATTCAGCATTGTTTCTCTGTTTAAAGAGTTAAAGGCATTCTTAAAATCTAGTTTTAAAAGAACAGTACATTTTGGATTGTCGTCGCGTTCAATTAGGTTTCGAAACGAGTGCGCAGCTATTTCTGCTCCTCGTTTGGTACCGCATCCTACCTGTACGTTTCCGAAAAAATTTTGTCCCTCGGAGAGGGCCTTGCTTCCAGCGCATTTAGACGCGATACGTCTCAGCGTGTTGCCTATGGCAATCGGTCTCAACCCTCCGTCTATTTTTATGAGGGCGATAAGCTTTGCGCCAAAAAAGAAAGGTCTTAGTGGTTCCGGTATTTTGCCATCTCCAATGAGGTTTATCAGCTTAGTAAGCGATTTCAGAAAATTAAGTCCTGCACTGCCATTCGACTTACTAACAAGATCTTTAAAAATTTGAGGAAATATTTTATCAGGACCTGCTGCTGATCCGTTTGGAAAGGACATTATCGCTTTGTATAGGTCGAAATCGGTTACGAAAAAACTATCCAACTTTTCTGGATTTGGAGCTGCAAATTTGGCTCGCTGCGGGTGCTTAGATAACAATTTTTGATAGTTATCAGTTGA